AGCTTGGCGACGATGATGTCCGTTTCTTTTAGGAGCTACTTAAGTAAGTCCGATTGTTTTGGTGGGTACTTAACCAGTTCTAAACACAATTGTGTCTAGTTCACACCAACCAATTTTGCAGTGAACCAAAACTAAATTAGAAGTTTTGGTATCAGAATATAAAGGGTATTACCCATTTGAATGATGAAAAAAGCGCTGAGTATAGTTCTATCTCTTCTGGTAGTTGACGAAGCGCATGGCCAACAGCGTGCACATACAGAAGATCAGCACGAATCCGACCAGGATCCCGCAATTCCTCCATACCTCGCTGTGCTTCATCAAGAAGTTTTTCTCCAGATATTGCTGCACAGTGATCCCGTCCGGAAGTGACGGTGGCACATTTGTCATTTCTGTACACCCGAGATTTCCTTCATTGTTGCAGGCGCCAAACACGACCGTGGAAAAAGCTGCCATGCTGTACGTCATGGGTGTGATATCGTAGAGCCACACCGTCGCCGACGGTAGTGTCGAAGCCGGAGGACTGAAACCCGAAAACAAGTACGAAATTAGAGTCACCAAGACGCCCACGATCTCTGCAACTTCCAAGTTCGGCAGCAAGAAAACAAGAAGCTCCGCCATGTACGCTTGATGCAGTACATGCAGCGACAACACCAGCCAGCACGTGAAGAAGGCACCCACTCCGGTGAAGCCCACGAGGGGAAAGAACGGCATCAGGAACAGCAACACTGCTGCGAAGACGAATGGGATCTCCATGACACTCAAACCGACGAAGTACCACAACGTATTGTACGTCTGTGATGCCCGCTCACGGTAGAACACGGCGCGTTCTTCAGCAACAACTGGGATCAAGCCGTTGAAAGACACCAAACCGATGAACCCCACAGCCAAGTATATCATTCCCAGTCCGGAATTCACTCCGGAGTACGACTTGTACTCTGCTCCAGCGTATGAGATGCCGAAGAGTAATCCCAGTCCCAATGAAATGGCATACCGTGTCAAGTTGAACGAAGCCGTTCGCCAGTAGAGATCACAGAAGCGTTTCAACAGGAACTTCGCTTGGGTGAGCTCCGATGCTGCGCGTTTGTCGCTGAACTCCAGTGCAGGCAAAGACGGTGACGGTCGAGTCACACCTTCTTGGTCTAGACTCGACTGGAGACGCTCGAAGTGGGCGCTGGCTTTGAAGATCTCCACGAAGTCCGTCTTGTCTCCGTTGCTGTTACCAACGCCAGCACCGATCACTTCCAACATCCACGTGGCTGGGTTGTAGTCGGTCTCGAGCTTTGCCACGCCATCATTCGACTCAAAGTACTCGATCATTTCACGTGCGTTGTCGCCTAGTTCACCAGCAAAGACCGTCTCTCCACCACGCTTCAACAGCAACAGACTGTCGAAGACGCTGAAAACCTCGGAAGATGGCTGGTGAATCGTACACACGATGGTACGTCCAGTATCCGCCACTTTACGTACACCGTCCATGATCAACTTGGCCGATCGAGCATCCAACCCACTCGTCGGTTCGTCCAAGAACAAGACACTTGGCTGCGCAGCGAGTTCCACACCGATCGTCAGTCTCTTCATCTGCTCCACGGAGCTGCCACGGATGATCTGGTCAGCGATCAGATTTAGATCTAGAAGATCCAAACACTCGTTCACCGAATCGTACTTGTGACTGTCTGGAACATCCGCTCCTTGACGCAAGAAAGCACTGAATGTCAAGGCTTCACGGATAGTAGAAGACTCCGAGTGGATGTCCATCTGCTCGCAGTAGCCCGTGGAGCGTCGAATAGCCAGATCTGTGGCAGGATGGCTGTTCAGCAGGATCTGCCCCCGAATCTGCCCGCCAGTCTTTCGTCCTGCAATCACGTCCATCAATGTCGTCTTGCCTGCTCCAGACGACCCCATGAGAGCTGTAATCGTGCCTGGTAAAGCGTATCCGGTGATGCCCTTGAGCAAGTCGATGGTTTGCTTCGGGTTGGTCGGGTCGGGAACAGTGTACCACAAGTCCTTGAACGCCACCGTGACCGGTACAAAGTATTTTTCTCTTGCGTGGTCGACCGAGATCACTGATTCACGCTGTTTCTGTGACTGTCGCGGTGTTTTAGCAATGATGTAGCCTTCTGCGGCGTCTGGTTTGGTCTCATTTGTAAGTACAACATTTTCTGGACGCTCGAAGCGATGGTACTCCAGAGCGATACACGACAAGAACAAGAAGAGCACGTACGTTGCAGCCATGAAGACCATCCCGTACCAAAGCCAGAATTTGTCCGACGGCACCTCATACGTACTGAGTGAGTACTCTCCCATCGTCATCCCATACTGAGCACAGTAGTCAAACCCATTGTACACACATTTGTCAAAGTGTGAGTTGATGTACTGATTGATTCCCAGCGCGCGTATACCCCAAGAGGTTGGATTGATCCAGTACATCCAAATGAGGTAGTCCGGAATTTGGTCTTTTGTGATCGTGTAGCCGGCAAACATCACAAAAAACACGATAGAAACACTGGAAAGTGGATTGGCCACATTCAGATTTGGCGACGCCGAAGCCAGGAAGAAGAAAAACGCGGCAAGTGCCGCGTTAATCAGACAGAGTATCACCACGAAGACGAAGAAGTTCCAGAACGAACTCAAGAAGCCACACATCCAGTACACAATCGCACTGAACACCACCGTCTCCAGGATGATAGCTGGTAGTTGGACCACCGAGTTGGATAGCACGTACGACGCTGTCCGGAAGAAGTTGGCACCTCGTTGCTTGTAGAAAACCTCACGCGCAGCCATCACCGTCGGGATCTGAGCAG